TGTATAATTGATGGTACTAGCCGCATCTAGTACCTTTCTTTGTTTTGAACGCATCTGAATATATTCCGTGTATTTTAAACTTTGGATGGGTTTTTATCGTACAGATTTTCTTATTATGTTAAATAGGTTGTTACGTACTCTTATATTTCCAGTATATTCCAGAGAGGATCCCATACTCCGCTGATATGAAATCGATCACTTGGGACTTTTTGTTTCTTAGTTGGTTGGAGAGCCTTCTCTATTTCTGCTCGTAAGATTATTGGTTCTGTCTCTCTAATTGCATGTTTTTTGGATTTCTGAGACTCGTACGTCTTTTGAAGTGTCTTTGTACAGTTTTAAAAAGTAGTTTTCATGGCTCTGCAATTCTCTGTTTGTCCGTTTTTATTTATCTATTATTGTCTAAATACTTAAGACCTAGAGCACGAATGTCGTTCCATTCAATTAATAATCGTTGATTATCTTTCGTCTCTTTTCTATTTAAATCCCAAATCTTCTACAATCCTATAGATAGAAGTCTAAAAATAATATAACAGATATTAAAGTACTTGGGAGGGTTGGTAAAGAAAACAAAACTAGCACCATTATACAAAAAAGAAAATTGGAATACCTAGGCCTTGTGATGAGAGAACCAAATATGAAATTTTGAGACCAGTCAGGCGTATGTCCCTTTAAGCCTTTTTTGCAAAAACTTCAATGATACGGACAACAGTCAGTCCCATGAAAATGGTAAATTGTATTTCTACTGTTTGTTGTAGTCTCCCCAATCTGCCACAGACATTTTCCCTTGGTCGGGTGTTATAGCTGGAAACTCTTATGAATTATTTGAATTTGCATTTGGTAACATATTCACTTGCTGAGTTATCTTTCTATTCTGCGTAAAGATACTATACTGCGTACAGTAGTTTCACTTACACGTTGTTGAATATGAATATGATTACTTGTTAAGGAACAGTGTTTGTATATTATTTCAGGTGGGTTAGACGAAAAAACCCCTGACCTTGCGATAAAATATTTTTGTTAGGCATTCAGTACCGTCGATTTTAAATAGTTTAATGACTATTATTGTGATCATTACATATGTAAGATAAAGGTTGTTCTGATCCATGATTTGGATCTATTCCCTATTGATCTCGCAGTTTGCTAGCTGTGTTGGATTTTTGAAGACCAGCTGCTTTTATAACTTTTTTATGCACATTACATGTACCGTTCCCATCATAAAAAACTGGTACAACTCCTTTAATCAAAAATCGTGTTTTTTAAGTTGTGTACGTTGATCTTGTCATATGTGTCATTCTAATTTCTAGGGGCACCGTTGTCAGTTCAACGAAAAATATATTAAACCAGCTAAAAGCAGGACTGTGTGACAGACCGCCAGTTTTAAGTATATTAAAAACTAAAACATTATCGAGCATTCTTGATCACTCAGTCACATTAACTTTGTTTAACCATGCATTCTAAAAAATTCTCATATTAATTTTGTAATTTTCCATCATCGCAATTAAGTACCCATACATTGATTTGTGTTTGTAACAATTTATGAAAAATGACAGATTATCAATCCAGACAAACTTCAAATTGTTATAATAAAACATTACTGTGGGAGATATTGGATTGTAACTGTTACGTTTTGAAAAGCGTTTTTTCGCCCCGAATATTTTATAGTTTATAATACGTAGGATAAAGTATAATGTTAGTTTGTCACATTTTTTATCGTTCTTGCAATAAATAAATAAATTAATCTTGGTAGTTTGCTATTACAAAACTTATTGACACAGAATACAGTTCGATTTCGCTAGGTAATTAAAGTATAAAATTACAGTAGATGCATTCCAATGTTCCCTGTGCCAATATCCTAGTTTTAAGATCCTTCAAACATTTTGGATAATAATCAATCCTATCTCTGCTTATTTAATTTCTAGATACGATTTTTTGTTGTTAATCATATTAATAATATCTATCTAAAAATTTTATACATTTTGGACGTTATTTTTTTATTTAGATTTAGTGCAATTCCGTTATCTGTAATGGCAACAACGAATTGATTTCTGAACACAGGTTTACATTGAGAAAAAAAAGTGTACCAGTTTTATATGACGGGAAGTGTACCGTGTTTTTTCCAATAACTCTATCTTTTTACCTGTAATCTTAATAAATTTTCTTTGGCCTTTTGTATTTCGGTTTTTAGTTGTTTATGCATATTGTTGTACATTCTTTTGTTACTCTTTGATTTTCTTTTTCTTTCATGAGTTGCAGTGTATTGTCATTCATCTAACTTTTACTCTTATCTTTCTTTTTTATTAGATGTTCGTCTCAAATTTGTTAAAGGTTTCAGATATATTCTGGAGTCATTCTTTTGCATTCTATGTTTGCTCCATGTTACTTAGCTTCTTTGAAAGAATCCGTGCTACTGTTCCTTTAGTTTCCTTATTTTTAGTCTTCCAATATCGCATTTGTTTTTACTATTATTTTTGTAATCTTCTTAACTCTAAACCTAAAATTACAACAACAGGAACATGGTCTGGTGATATGTCAACACCATATTATATTTGCTTATATTCAATAAAAACACTTTAATATTTTTTATTACTACGGTTTAAATATATATTTACTATAGATGTTATTTGATAACCAATATGTTCCCAAAAATTGAAAACTAGGGTTCATAAATTAATCCCAATTTTTAAAATGCACTAAATGAAAGAAAAGTGAAATAAAAAACGTTATGAAAAATATACCATTAGCAATTGACGAATGAGTTAAGGATGCATAGTTATTATAAACAAACACGTCAACAAAATATGTTCGTAGGCAATTTGGCCATCACAACTGATATAATATTAAAATTTCGGTTTGGATATGACACGGTAGTGACATTTTGCGCACTCAAAGCTTATTACTATCTTGTAGAATAAAATTTTTAATGTTATACATGGTGAAGGTTTAGAGTATTTTAAGTACACACATATGCATAATCTACTTAGAGCTATATCAGTACAGAGTATCCATAGTCAAAAAGAACATGCTAAATCTTCCTATATTTTAAAATACCTACAAATATATGTAAATAATTATGTTGATTAACTAATTTTGTTTGGCAGTGTATGTTCTGTAGTTTAATTCATAATGCTTCAATTACGACTACAGTACGTCGTAATGTATATTAGATTCTACTATATTATGTACATAGCATTCATTTTAATGTAAATATAAGTAACAGTGCTTACCAAATATGATTCAAATCGGATCAAATATGAATAATTATGTTAAATTAGCATTGAAAGAGTATTTTGTAAAATACTAAATAGTATCGAAAGAAAATTACAATTATTTATGAACTTTTGAATTGATTAATTTCAATATTGAAACATTATCTATTACCAGTCCGGCAGTCCATTTTGTGGTCCCACGAGAGATTTAGTGATCTTGACTTTTTTTAATAGTTTCAACCTATTAGTAGTACCTATCATGTAATTACTTAATTTTAAGTTATATGCATTAAAGGAATTCAACTGTTTTATTCTAAAAAGTATTAGGTTTGTTAACTAACTACATATGTACGTTTTGCTTTGCAGTAAACTTCAATCTATAATATATTTTAGTATTCTTAGCAGTGTTCTTAGCTTCTATATCTAGAAGAAGTAGTTTTCACTCTACTACTTAATTTTTGTTGCTTTTTTTCCAGCGTTGTAATTTCCAGTTTTGCACTGGTTTACTTTACAGGACTAGTTTGAAACTGTTTCTGATTCCATTGTTTCTATATGTCCTAACAACTTATTTGAGTAGCTTGAGAGAGGAAAATAAAGCTTTATATTTCTCCATTTATTATTGTTTCCCACTCATTTAGTTATAAATACCACCGTAAATGGATCTTAGCATTTTCAGCTCCATTTTTCAACAGGTATATAGTTTTTCCCAATACCTAGGTTTCAGATTTTGTCTTAATGTTGGTCTAAATTACTGTCTTTTAGATTTTTATTCAAGTTTTTTTGATACATAAAGATTAGCATCCTTAGCTATAAAAAAAAAATTCGCAAGTCTGGCATTAATTTTACGCTCTCGGTTTCCATGTCCGTTATTTTCTATTATCACTCTCAAATTTGTAAACTAATTTATTTTTTTATCCAAGCTGTTTCTTAGTTCCAAAAATATAAAAAGAAAAATACGTAAAAACTTACAGCCGTTTTATACATTTTATTATTATAAAACGCAAAAAAGTCGATTAACCAAGAATCTGTACTCCAGAAAAAAATGCTTGTAATAACAATTGTAGTTGAGATAATTTTAAACAAAAATGTTTATTAACACTATTTTGGTAGAATAAACCGTTCCTCACAAACATCGCTTAAAATGACCGTCGATTTTGAATGTCAATAGCGCGAGCGAAATTAATGTTAAATAAAATTTTTATCAGCTCGACGGTAAAAATTATATATCTTTTGATTTTAAGTATCCTATCAACAAAAATCAAGATCCTTTTTAATGGTAAAGACTTCATCTTTTGTATGAAATTTTTATATTTTGCCTTAAATAACTGTATATTTTTAAAGGTGTTAAATAAATAAAACGTAGCGCGATTTTTGCCATTTTTTATGATTATCATGATGTCAATACGATCTAGCCCTTCTATTCACTGGCCACTAAGAAATTTGGATAAATAGATCCTCCCTTCACAACCTATAGGCATTTTAGGTTTTACATTTTGCAACACATTGAGGCATTTGAAATATGCTTTAAAAGCGCTGGACTTAAACTTTTACATAACAAACGATCTAAAATGGTTATTTTTTTTAAATACACTAGTACACAAAAAAAAACTTCTTCTATAAACGTCACCCAAAACCGTCTTTCTTGAAGGCATTTTCGTGACGTGCAAACGTTTGTAATGTGAAAACAATAAATTTTGCGTTTTTATTCATATTTTAAATGCCTCATTTTTGTTGCCATAACTCAAAATTAAAAATTTTATGTCATATGTTTTAAATATTAATCTCATGAACATTTTATACGACTAGTCCATGAAAGTAATTAATTTTATTGATCTTACGAGAATCGCAACAAAATGGCAAACATCGCGGCACAATTATTTATTTAACACGTTTATAAACACTGAGTTTATTTGTAGCAAAATACAAAAACTGCATATAAGATTTATTTTTTAAAACGCATTTTAATTTTTGTCGATAGGACACTTGGATCAAAAGATATCAAATTTTTACCGTCAAGTTGATACAAATTTTATTGAACAGTGGTTTCGCGCGTGTCACTAACATTCAAAACAGACAGTCGCTTCAAGCCTTTTGAGAGAACGGTTCATTCTAAACAAAAGTGCTAATAAACATTTTGTTTAAAATTATCTTAGCTACATTTTTTTTAAACAATTTTTTTAGGGGGAAAACAGGGGTAAAAGTGGTAAACATTTTTGCACTTTTTTGGAGTCTCAAAATTGATATTATCGATACAATTCAGCTTGTTCGTATGATTTTAGAGGGCAACTCTCTGACGACTCTACTATTAGGTATGAGATCTTTAACTTGATGTATAGTTTAAGTATTTTATATGACAATCAATCCCTCTAGTCAAGAATAATATTGATTTATTGAAATATAAGTTGATTGTTATTTTATGAACAATAAAAAAAAACAACGGAATTAAAAAATCTGGAGGGTTTTTAATAATGACTGTCTATGATTAAAACTCCGGTAAATGCCAGTTATGTAATTTTCCTCGAGACGACGGATTTGCTTGAAATTTGGATTTAGGTTCCTCTTACTCGCTACTTACTTTTGGCCTTTTCATTTTTTCTTGGGGGGGTGAAACTTGGTATTGACTTTTTGGTGAAAAATACTTTTTGAGTTTGACTGACTTTTTTAAGCCAGTGAAAATGTTCATTTTTCAAAATAAAAACCACGTTTTCAGACGGTTTTTTCTCAAATAACTTACAAAGTAAGTATTTTTGAGAAAAATATTCAAAATAAAAATGTAACTTATAAAAAAACAAAGAAAGTTTTGTATTTATAAAAGTGTATAGGACTTAGTAGAAATAGAGTTGTAGCTCATAGAAAGTAGGTTCTTATTTTGTCAAATTCGAAATCTACTATTTCAACGTGAAATAACCAAAAAAAAAAAAAATAAAGAAACTTTTTCAGGAAAACTCGGGGAAATATTTAAAAAGCTTTATTATTTTTGTTTTTTTTTTTTAAGTTTTCTAGCATTCAAGAAAGTATTATAAATACGGCAAATTTGGAAGAGTAAAAAAATATAGGTTTTTTTTTTCAGAACATTTTGGTTTTTTCTGTAAGACAAAAATTGGTTAAAATATGGCTATTCAAAGTTTGCATACACTCCTGATTGATGACTTTTTTCAAGAACTGTCAAATCCAAAAACCAATCACATATTTTAAAAGATCAGCACGCGTACACTGTGAGCATTCTCAGATACACAAAATGTGTACTCTTAGGCACAGATATATTTATACCCATCCTTATAAACTAATAAGGCTTTTTTCAAGTTAAAATAAAATAAATTCATAACAATTTGAAAAAAATTATTGTTATATGTATAAAAAATATTAAATATTATTTATAGTCTTAATAAAAAATACTACAACTACTAAAATTTCTTCGCAGGGGGTGGTTTTTATATAGGTAGAAAATATGTGGCAAAAATTAAATTAATGTTACTGTCTAATTTAATATTTTAAAATTGCTTGAATTTACAATTATATGATTTTTTTAATAGAGGTCGTTTTCACCCCTCAAAAATACAAACAACCAACGGCACAAGTCCAATTTTGAAGTGGAGGGTAAATATAACCTAAATCCAAATTCCATGCAAATCAATGGAGACAAGGTATTCAATGACATTTTTTAAATTAAAATTAATCTAGGGGATAAGCCTTGAGGGCTAAACTTAAATAAAAATCTTAAATTAGGTTGTTTAATGATAATTGATACTCATTTACATTAACAGATGATATGATTCAATTGCCAACTTTAAGTTACGTATACCTAACGTACGTACTTTAATTTAGTAAACAAGCTTGTATAATGGGAGTAAGTTTCACTTTTAAAAAAATACAAAGCAACCAACTCCACAAGTCCAAAAGTGAAGTGGAGGGTAAGTAGAACCTACTTCATTTATTGCCTATAAGGTATTTATTAAAATTTTTACGCTTTTATATTTTGTTCAGATTTATTATTGGTAACGAAATATATTTGAATATTCAAAGCAAATCTGTTACCTCAAAGTCACGCTGTCCACGTTAAATGTTGTCCACGATATACATAATTGCTAATAATTAACTAAGCGTCGACTACGTAAAACACTGTATATTTTGGAGATATATTTTTTAGATTAATAAAAAATTGTAAAGTCATGGTTACAGAATGGAAAATAAAGAAATCCAAATATTATGTTATACAGACTACGCCGTATTAATCGCTGGAGAGAAGAAGAGCTCCAAAGATTAACACATATCTTAATACAATATGATAATATTAGCAAAAAAACCAAATGAATAACAACATCTAAATACCCAATACTATGTAAAATCGAAATTGATGGGAAAAATTATAAACAGGAAGCAAGGTTTAGATATCTGGAAATAGATATAATAGTTACGAAGATGTTAAAGAAGAAGTACGACAAGAAAGCTTAAAAGCAAGTAAAGCAGCTGGTTCTCTTAATGACACAATCTGGAAGAACAAACACCTAAGACAAGACACAAAAACAAGAATCTATAAAGCAGCAATTATACCTATATTAACATACATGGCGGAGACAAGACCTGACACATCTAAAACGAGGACGACTGTTGGAAACAACAGAGATGAAATACTTCGACGAATATTAGGGAGAAGTCTGTAGGATAGAACAAGAAGCGAAAAAATAAGAAAAGCATGTAATATGGCAGACATAAATGAATGGGTGACAAAAAGAAAACAGGAGTGAAACGAACAATCAGTAGAATGGCAGATAATAGAATAGTACGAATAGCATGAGAATGAGATAAGTCACCAAATAATGACGAAGAAGTATTGGGAGATCAAGAAAAAAGATGGGGCGACAATTTAAACAATTTAGGAGGCTAATATGAAGAAGAAACTGGCTTTAAAGCCTACTAACTAGAAGAAAGAGGAAGAATAAAAACTTCGCTAGGAAACTAAGTTCCTGTAGCTGGCTGTATACCATATATCACAAAAAATTATTTCAAATCCTTTATAAAAGGTTTTTAATAAAATGCCCAAACGGGCTATCACAATTATATTACAAAACGTTTTTGGGTTGTTAAATCCATCATCAGTGTAAACGAGGTATACATGCTATGAGCCACCAAAATATATGGGTCAAAACCCTTTAAATCATATAAATTTACAGTTGTTTTACATTATATATGGTTACAAATTGTGATGTTTAAGTTACCGTTGGAATTGGTAACATGGCGAGTATGACC